CTTACCCTCTCCCCAGCTCAGTTTCCTCACCTGTGAAACGGGGCTAATTATACCTCCCTCACCCTGTTGTGTGGATTCTTGAGGTCATGTGCACTCAGGACCTGACACAGCTCATCACAGGCTCTGGATGCCGGGTTTTACTATTATTATGGGTCTCTTAAAGCATTTCTACATTACCTTTGTTTTACAAATCCTCTCTCCTCTCAAAATCTACAGTGGGGAAGGTTTTATTTTATTTTAATTCCTTTATTGATTATGGTGTCACATAATTGTCCTCATTCCCCCCCCCCATTTCCATCCCAAACCCCTCCCCACGTATGCCCACCCCCTGTTGTCCATGACCTCTGGTTAGGCTTTTATGCATGCACACAAGTCCTTTGGTTGATCTCTCCCCTTTTTTTTCATTAAAAAAAGCACCCTTAGTATGTCCCTTATTTTTTTTATTATTTTTTTTTTGCCGAGCCTGAGGACCCTGGCTCGGTCCCAAGGCCTTCCTCAGAGAACCCCAAGTTTGGGCAGCCCAGCCCCACCGGGCGGGACGCCTCCCTGCAGGCTGGCTGCTGCAGTGGCTTAGCTGCTTTTAGTGTTGTTCCTGAACATGATGTTGTCTGGGCCTGCAGGCCTCCACAGCTCCCGCCCGCCTGCCCTCCCTGCATACATTAGCCTTAATGTATTCTCTCCTGAATACTCATCATATTAAGGGACCCCGCTAGATACCTTGCTCGAAATAAATTTTATGGGCATACATCCTCGCCCTCATCCCCGGGCCTGTGCAGCGGGGAGGAGAAATATAGCCTCGGCATTCCTCCCCGGCAAGGCCAAACAACAATTAGGTGGGAATTGGGGGCCTCTGGCCCCAGACCCAGGAGGTGGGGGTGGGGTGGGAGGAGGGAGCAGGCACGCCCCGCCAGGGCTCGCCCAGCACCCGGAGGGCTGTTCTCTGTCTCGTTCTCCAAGGGTGAATTTGCCTCTGAAGGCCCAGCCCCCTGGCTCCCCATATGTGCCCGGGATTGAGGGGCTGGTTGGGGCTCACAGGTCCCTGCACTCTGCACCCCTTTGTCCGCAACCACTTCCCCGAGGCTTCTTGGTCAGCATTTCCCTCCCTTCTCCCTTGAAATGAGGCCAGAGCAATCTTCCTGACACTCCTTTCCCCAAGCCCAGGCCCCGCAGCTGCAGGGACTGGAGGCAAATGCCGGCAGGAGAGACCTCACCCTCCTGCCCAAACCTTTAATGAAGATGCTCTTCGCCTGGGCTGTCTGCTCCCCGCACCCCTCCCAGGACGTGCTGCCCCACAGGAGCTGCCGGTTATCAGTCACTCCTCAGCTCACCTGTGTGTATCCACATCTCGCCCACCCACAGCCTCCCCGGCCACGCTGGGGATCCTGATTGTTCCTGGAGAGAGGCAGGGGTGTGGTTGAGGGAGCAGCCCCTCAGCCTTGCAGAGCGGCTGTGTGATGCGGGTGCTCTCTGAGGCTCCGGGTGAGGGTCATGACTCTGGGAAGATGCAATGAGATCCGCCAGCGAATGTGGTTTCTAACTTTCCTCTCCCCTCGGCCTCAGCAGCACCACCTCTACCGCCTGATCGCTGCAGGGATCTCCTAGTGATACAAGCCTTTACTGAGCTCCAGCTGTATACACGGTGATTGGTTTAGTCTTCACAAGAATCCTACGAGGCACTAGTTCATCATCACACCCTCCCCCCCACTTCCCCTACCCCAGTCCTGTTTTCAATAGAGGTGAGAAACACCAGCCAAGTGCTTGCACTTTCATGTATTTTTGTTGTTAGTTTGTCGCCTTCCTTTTTTTGGTGATGGTGGTGGTGGTGAGGGGGTGTGTTCTGTTTACTCATCCAACCGGGAAGCCTGACCAATGCTTTGGTAAAGATGAAATGGCAGCTTTTACAGGTGAGAAAACGGAGGCAAAGTAACTTGTGGAAGGTTATAAAGCAGGGCCAGGAATCAAACGCTGGCGTCCAACTCCAGAATCCATGGTCTTACCTGCGCGCGCTCTCTCCCTCCTTCTCCGATGGAGGTTCCGGCAGTCATCACTGCTTAGCCCTTTGCTGGGCACATCGGGACTCCTTGGCAAGCAGTTGCTGGTTGAACAGTTTCTGTGTCACAGAGGAAACCTTTTGAGGTAAAAAAAAAAAAAATCCCCATACAACCTGGGACCGGTAGCCAGCGTCCAGTGTTCACGTATTTTACCAAGTGTGACTCCTGGTAGTTTTCATGGTGTATTTTGGTCTGAGAATGGGGCCAAAGGGCAGGCATCGGAGGGGTCTGACTTTCAGGCGAATGTTGGTGGCTGCCAGAGCCTTGAAGGGAACAGGCTGGGGTCGGGGTGTAATGGGGTCCAGGATCGGCAGGTGTGGACAGGGCTGGTGATGACCATTGAGTGCCTGTCCCACAGCCCGTGAGTAAGTTTTAGGTACAAATGACTTCATACTTGAGAAAGCATTCTCCTTCCTTCCATAGTTTAAATGTGTTCAGTTTTCTCCCATTGAGGCTAATTCCCGTATGTTACCACTTTAAAATGATGTCAACAACCAACAGACATGACATGAATCAAGAAACCCCTGTGATTCGTGAGAGATTTGGTTTTAGGAGGTTTGTTGACGGTTTGGAATGTGCCGGGGAAAACTAGCTGGGAAGTGTGCTCCGGTGAGCTTCTGAGAGAGGGTTTGATCAGTGATTTATCCAGCGATTAACCTCTGTGGTGGCGCCTGTGTGCCAGGCACGGCGCTAGGCAGTGAGCTCACAAGGTGGGAAGCACTGGTGCTGCCCCCTGAGGATCCCCTCCTTCTGATGGGAAGACACTGTGTCAACAAACAATTAGCAAAAGTCCTGTTTTCAATAGAGGTGAGAAACACCAGCCAAGTGCTTGCACTTTCATGTGTTTTTGTTGTTAATTTGTTGCCTGCCTTTTTTTGGTGGTGGTGGGGGGTGTTCTGTTTACTCATCCAACCGCGAAGCCTGACCATCTTTTCTGTTTTGAAAATGCTTTATTGACTCGAAATCCTTTGGTAAAGATGAAATGGCAGCAAAATCAGACCTTGGACAGAGTGGGAAGCACAGTGGTTGGGGGTTGAGTTGCCAACAACAGAAGCCACTGGCACTATTGACGTGGAAATGGCATAAGGTAGCTTTCAACTCAGTGGAGCCATGTGTGGGCCAGCCTCCTGGGAGGAACTCCCAGCCCCCAGAATCCCCCTGCCTCTGCCATGACTGAGCAGGACATCACAGTCCCCAACCCCCGACCCCCATAGCCTCTGCATGCTCCACGCCCACACCAGGGAGCCTGCCAGATGGCTGTGCCTCCATTTAACTTCTTTCTCAATTCAGGTCCCCCATCCCCTCCCTTTTTTGTTTTTTGTTTTTGTTAATCCTCACCCAAGGATATTTTCCCATTGCTTTTTAGAAAGAGTGGAAGGGAGGGAGAGAGAGACATGGGTCGTTGCCTCTCTTTTGTGCCTTGACCAGAATCGAACCCAGGACCTTTCAGTCCATGGGCCGGTGCTCTATCCACTGAGCCAAACTGGCTAGGGCCAGGTCCCTTGTAAGTCATCTGATTGGCAGACTTTTTAAAAAAATTTTTTTTAAAAATTAATTTTTTTACAGAGAGGAAGAGAGAGGGATAGAGAGTTAGAAACATCGATGAGAGAGAATTATTGATCAGCTGCCTCTTGCACACCTGCCTCTTGTACACCCCCTACTGGGGATGTGCCCGCAACCAAGGTACATGCCCTTGACCGAAATCGAACCCGGGACCTTTCAGTCCGCAGGCTGCCACTCTATCCACTGAGCCAAACCGGCTGGTTGGCAGACTTTAAATCACAATGGGAACCTGAGCTGCAAGGGAGCCTGGACGCCCGGTTTCTGGTGTGTGGCCTGCAGCACAGGAAGGCACGTGAGGAGGGACGCTGCTGGAGCCGGTCCATGGGATCCGCTGCAGCCCATTCAAATGTTCTCAGGAGATTCCACCCCCACAAACCCTCAGGCCTGGCCCTCGCGCTCTGCTCACCCCGGCACAAGGCATTTGCTTTTTCCGCCAGATGGTCTCTCAGTCCGGGCCTTGGCAGGGCTCGCTTGGGCGACGATGTTTTTAACCCGGATTCCGCCCAGTAGTGAACATGCCATGGGCTCAGGAGAATGTGGCCGGGTCTTCCTGCTGGTTGTCTGTGGAATTGCAGCTGGTGTAACCGAGGTGAGCCGCTGCTGCTGGCCTTGTGGGGCCCTTAGAAACACAGAAGATATCCCTGACCGGTTTGGCTCAGAGGATAGAGCGTTGGCCTGCGGACTCAAGGTTCCCAGGTTCGATTCCGGGTCAAGGGCATGTATCTTGGATGCGGGCACATCCCCAGTAATGGGTGTGCAAGAGGCAGCTGGTTGATGTTTCTCATCAATGTTTCTAACTCTCTATCTCTTTCCCTTCCCCTCTGTGAAAAGTCAATAAAAATATTTTTTAAAAAAAGAAAGAGCCGAATCCGGTTTGGCTCAGTGGTAGAGCGTTGGTCTGTGGACTGAAGGGTCCCGGGTTCGATTCCGGTCAGGGGCATAAACGTTGGTTGCGGGCATATCCCCGGTAGGGGGTGTGCAGGAGGCAGCTGGTTGATGTTTCTCTCTCATCGATGTTTCTAGCTCTCTCTCTCCCTTTCCTCTCTGTAAGAAATCAATAAAATATATTAAAGAAAGAAAGAAAGAAAGAAAGAAAGAAAGAAAGAAAGAAAGAAAGAAAGGAAGAAAGGAAGAAAGAAAGAAAGAAACAGAAGACGCCTTTGGGCCAAAGACACCCAAAGCAAGACCAGCAAAGCATGGGCTGCACTTCAGCCCCCCTGACCAGAGGTCTCTGTGCCATGTACGGCCTGCGCAACCCTGGAGGCTGGCTTCTGTCCTCCTGACCACGGGTGGGGAGTTGTGGGGAGGATGGGAAGGCAACAGGGCCCTTCTGGTGAGCGGTGCCGTGTGGAAGGCTCACGCTGCCTCTCTCTCCTCTCCCCACAGAGATCCCCCAGTGCGCTGGCTGCAACCAGCACATCCTGGACAAGTTCATCCTGAAGGTGCTGGACAGACACTGGCACAGCTCCTGCCTCAAGTGTGCGGACTGCCAGATGCAGCTGGCGGACAGGTGCTTCTCCAGGGCCGGGAGCGTCTACTGCAAGGAGGACTTCTTCAAGTGAGTCCCGCCGGTGCAGCCTCCTGTCCCTGCGGCTCTGGGCTCTGTCTGCCTGGCGCTGTGCTGTCGGTGGAGTGGGCAGGAGCTGGCAGTGGGGCAGGGTGGGGAGGGGGGCAGGAGGTGGCGGCGGGGCAGGGTGGGGAGGGGGGCAGGAGCTGGCGGTGGGGCAGGGTGGGGAGGGGGTCAGGAGGTGGCGGCGGGGCAGGGTGGGGAGGGGGGCAGGAGCTGGCGGTGGGGCAGGGTGGGGAGGGGGTCAGGAGCTGGCGGTGGGGCAGGGTGGGGAGGGGGGCAGGAGCTGGCGATGGGGCAGGGTGGGGAGGGGGCAGGAGCTGGCGGTGGGGCAGGGTGGGGAGGGGGCAGGAGCTGGCGGTGGGGCAGGGTGGGGAGGGCGGTAGTTCTATCCTGGGGGGTGTGAACCCTCCTGTGGAGAGGCTGCTCCTCTGTGGCCCCTCTTTGGGTCACCAGCCCCCTAACTGCCGGAAACCCCAGGGTCTCCACCTCACTTGGAGCGGCCGGGGAGCATGCCCCAGGGTGGCTGGCCACGGGTTCCTGCAGATCCTAACACACGCTCTCTGTCCGGGGGGCGGGTGCTCCAGGGCTCTTGGTTGTGTCATTCCTGCAGCTTTCAGAGCCCGTGCGTTGAGAGTCCGGTCCCGATTCTAGTGAGGCTGCTGCCCGGGCCTCGGAGGCCTGGAAGAGTTGTCGCTCCAGGGCCCGGCAGGCCCCCTTGGAAGAGGTCGTTCATGTGCTGCTTAAGAGCCCAGTCCTGCCTGGGTTTGAACCCACTAATGGATTGTATGCTTTCGGGCAAATGACTTCACGTCCCTGTGCCTCCGTGTGCTTACCTATAAAGCGGGACTGATAGTCCTGCCTCTTAGAGTCGTTCTTGCTTTGAACGTGTCAGCCTGTGGGAAGCCCTGGGACCGTGTCTGGCCCCTGGGTGCTGGCTTCTTGAGGCTGCCTTGGTTTTTTCATTCTGATGTTGGGCCCATCCGAAAAATTCCTGTTGGAGCTTTGGGTCAGGGTGAGGGCCCTCCTGGAATTTATTTCCGTGGCATTTAGTCTGGACCTTCTGTCCCAGGATCTGTTCCCCGAGGCACTTAGGCGAGTGCATCCGTGGACGTGGACCAGCTGAGAACAGCAAACAAGAACAGGAGGCGGGGGTTGTCCATCAGCGACGCGGGGCCCAGTGTGGGGGGCCTGTGGAAGGGACTGGGACTGGGGGGAGGCTCGCCAGGTGGGCAAGCCCCAGAGGTGGCGTGCACCCCTCAGAGATGATGCATTCTGGAGACAGGGAGGGAAACACGATTCCTCCCAAACCCGCCCAAAGCTGACACTGTGGGGAGTAAGTCGCTTGGATGTCTGAGGATGGCAGCGACTTCTGTGCAATATGCATTGGAAAGTACAGTAGAGGTCATCTTGGTAACTGAGGCGGCCTGCATGGCCTGGGTTCAGAAGGCAGCACTCGTTGTCGATGGGCATCACACTTTGGTCAGGTATGCACTGCTGTCTCTGTGTGCACGTGTGTGTGTGTGCGCGCGTGTGTACTGTGGGGGCAGTAGCTGGCACGCCCTTCAGATCCTCCAGCGGAGAGATGGGCCTCTGGTTCTTCATCTAAGCCTTTCTTCCCTCTCTTTCCCCGCCTGGGACCGTCCCCGATTCCTTTGTTCTGGTATTTGCGCAGTTCCATCCCCTCCACCCGCACCCGTCCTCAGAGGGCAGCAGACATCTGCCCGTCCTCTTCCCTCAGTGGTGTCCTGGCCAAGCACCACGGCCGTTCTTGCGGACCCCTGAAGGGGTGGATTTCACCGTGTGTGTGTGTGTGTGTGTGTGTGTGTGTGTGTGTGATGTAACTGTGTGCACCTGTGAACAAGAATGTGTGGGAGGGAGGATCTAACTGAGGAAGCTGGGGGGAGGGTGAGTTGTCCCCGCTCCCATAGCCAGGGCACCATCCTCCCGTTTCCCCTTTATTTTTTATTTTATTTTAAAAAAAATATATTTTATTGATTTTGTACAGAGAGGAAGGGAGAGAGATAGAGAGCTAGAAACATTGATGAGAGAGTCATCGATCAGCTGCCTCTTGCACACCCCCCACTAGGGATATGCCGGCAACCAAGGTACATGCCCTTGACCGGAATCGAACCGGGGACCTTTCAGTCCCCAAGCCGACGCTCTATCCATTGAGCCAAACCGGTTTCGGCCTCCCGTTTCCCCTTTACCTGCGGGAAGCCCAGTGAGCTGGGAGGGAGGGGACAGGGCTGGTGTCCTGAGGTGGCCCTGGGTCAGACCTCTGGCTGGTCCAGCCTGGCAGGGCAGCCCGTGGGGTGCAGGCAACGCCTGTCAGGGCCACAGAACTAGGGCTCTGTCCACGGAGAAGCTCTTTTGACCCCAGAACCACCCGGGAGCACCATCTGATGTTTTAACCTTGACTGGCTGGTTCCGGGTTTGGGAAGGGGCGGGAGCAGCTTGGGGGCAGTGTTGGGTTTGGGAGAAGTAGTGATGAGGAGAGAGGGTCCCCCTAGACCCAGGAGAGGCTCAGAGAGAAGGCTGGGGGCAGAGAGATTAGCACTGGGTTAGGCTCTTGACCAAAAGTAACAGGGACACTCAGCTGGTGCCCTGCCTCCCTGCCTCCGTGGCCTCCCCAGGCCGTGGCCCTCATTTGGGAAGTTCCCAGGCCTTGCTCAGCAGCAACCTCCTGACTGGTCCCCCAGCCCCTCTACCTCACAGACTAGCATCCTACCTCACAGCTCAGGTCCTGAGCCCGCTCCCCCTGCTGCTCAGAGGACTCCAGATGCATTGCACCACCAGAGCCTTCTGCTCTGTGCCCACCCTCCCTCCCAGTCCTTAGCTCTCTGCTTTCCTAAGTACGGGCCACCCCCCGGCAGGATGCCCCCCCCCCCCTGCCCAGGCACCCTCTGCGTTTTCCCACCTCCACACTCTGGCTCAGGCTGTTTCATCCCCCGGGAATGATGTCCATCCTTTCAAGGTCTCCCCATCTTCCATGGCCGAGAGTCAGCTCCCCAGGGGGTGGGAGCCCTGGGAGGCATGGCCGCCCTGTCCCTCCTCCCTCCTGGTGACTCAGAGGGAATGGCCTTCTGTTGCTCATTCCTCATGCACCTGCTCAGCTTCCTGTTGACTTGAGGAAAGGCTTGCTAGTCCGTCATTTTTCTGTCCCCCAAATAGGCCCTTGGCCCCAAACCTTGCCCGTCGGCTGTCAAAGAGGAGATTACAGTGAACTTACAACCAGTTTTTTTTTTTCTTCTGTCCCCTGCACGGTGTCCCACGAGTGTTGGAGGCCCAGGCTGCCTGGGAGATGCACAGACCCCTTATTTAGAACCGTTCCTGTCCTTGTGTCACAGGACCCACTCGCCCTACTTCTTAAAACAGCCCAGGCTCAAGGCGGGGGAGCTGTCCACAGAGCCAGTGCTGATTCCAGGTCACTAACCTTGTGATTGGGTGCTGTGTGGAGGAAGTGGTTCTCCCCACTGCCAAGAAAGGGCCAATCTGATATGAAGATCAGGCAGCTCTGAGGGCCCCCCAGGGAGGACACGTGATCAATAGGCAGGTGGGGCCCCGCCCATTCTTTGGGGCCCTGGCTGTTTGTTACAGGGAGGACCATGCCTGTTCGGTTCAGGGAGGCACAGCTGCAGGCAGAGCCACAGTCCTCGGTGAGGACAGGGAGGAGGGGAGTGACTCAGGGTCGGAGTGGCTTCCCCTCCCACTTCCCACTTGGGCTCAGGCTGTGACTTGGCCACAGAGCTGGGTCTCCTCTCCTCATTACAGCGCATTAAGTGTCCCCAGACCCCTGCCTTCCCATGGCACCCTGGGGCACAGGTGCTGTGGGATCCTGAGAGCAGAGAGAACGGAGGCTGGGAGGAGGAGGAGGAGGAGGAGGGCAGTCTCTGGGACCTCAGCTCCCTCCATCATCTCCTGGCTGCAGGAACTGGTTCAAGTGCTGGGTGCCCTTAGGCAACTTCCTTGGCATCTCTGAGCGCCAGTGTCCTCTTCAGGAGAAAGGGAAATGCTAAGGGTGGCTGCTTTAGGAAACTTGGCATGCTGGAGCATCTCACTAAAGGGAGTTTGTTTTGTTTTGTTTTTAATCATCAGAGTGGTTTGGGAAACCCAAACTCTGCACCTTGAGCCTCAGACAGCTTTCAGCTGTGGGTTTGGACTATGCCTGGTCAGAGCCAGGGAGAATCCCTTCTCCGTGTTCCTCAAAGCCAAAGGGTGGATTTCACCCCTTGAAGGAAAGAATCACGACTGTAATGTGAAGAGTGGCCCCCTGGATGTGTGTCAAATCTCAGAAATGGGGGGAGGGTCGGGGGGGGGGGGGAGAGCCAGAGATTGGCTTCTACCTCTGGGAGATGGGGTAATGCTGACGCCTGGCAGCAGAGGGCGATGTTGCTGTGTCACAGACAAAGGTATTGTGGGAGGCTGTACTCTGTGGTTGTTGCATTTTTCTTTGTGGGGAGGATGGCATTGAACTCTCTCTGGTTCAATAACACTGGCTGATTGGTGCTGTGGTTTGCTGCTGTTACTCCTCAGGTTCTTGGCTCCCCTTTCTCCAAAGGAAATAAGATTCTGAGCCTGAGAGGAGAGCCGTGTGGTTTCAGGGCTATGTGGTTTCAGTCGCAAGCCGAAGCACGCCAGCTCCTTGCACTGCATTTGCTAGGCAGGTCCTTTCTGGACTGTGTGCCCAGCATGTCGTGGGTCCCCTGTCTCCTTGCAAAGGGTCTGGGGAGGGCATGGGTCTGAGAGTAGGGCTTCTGGGTCCCCTCCCAGTCAATGATTGGGTCCCGGGAGGAGCCCGGCAGCTCCCTTGCTCTGAAGTGCAGTGAAGACAGGACAGGCTGTGCTGCTGCAGGTACTGGTTCAATGCTGGGTGCCCTTAGGCAACTTCCTTGGCATCTCTGAGCTCCAGTGTCGTCTTCAGGAAAGGTGGGCATGCTCATGTGGCTGCTTTGGGAAAGCTGGCACCCTGGAGCACCTCTCAAAAGGGG